CAACTTTCGCAAAATTATTCAATTTGTCTTACAGGCAAGGAGTATATCCATCATCATGGAAGTCTGCCGCAGTACAACCCATTCCAAAGAAAGGAAAAAAGACAGATCCGTTAAACTATAGACCAATTGCTCTACTTCCGGTGATATCAAAAGTAATGGAAAGAGTTGTGAACAATCACCTAACCAAGTACTTGGAAAAGTACAAAATTATCAACGATAAGCAATACGGATTTCGAAAATATAGGTCAACTGGCGATTTACTTACATACGTCACTCACTTATGGCAAAAAGCGATTGAGTTGCGGGGTGAAACAAGAACAATTGCCTTAGATATATCTAAAGCATTCGACAAACTTTGGCATGAAAATCTGCTCAACAAGCTCAAAGCAATGGGATTATCGCCGAAACTTTGCACTTGGTTTGAAAGTTACCTAAAGGACAGATCCATTTATGTTGCACTGGATGGCCAGAACTCCAACTCTTACCAAATAAATGCTGGTGTGCCACAGGGAGCAATCCTTTCGCCAACTCTTTTTCTGATTTACATAAATGACCTCATAGATAAAACAGTAAATCCACTTTATTGCTTTGCAGACGATGGCAATGTAGTCTCCTCACTCATACCACCCACAGGTCTTTCCGCACGTGAATTCCATCATCTTAGACTAATTCAAATATAGCAGATAAATAACGACCTGGAGATAATAGAGGACTGGGGTAACAAAAACCTTGTACAGTTCAACGCACAGAAAACCCAAGCAGCTCTGTTTTCAAAAAAGAACAGCACCGGTGAGCCAAACATCATGCTATCTGGAAGTGCTGTCACATTACAGAGTCAGTTGAACATCTTGGGGGTTACTGCAGAGACCAACAGGTCTTGGCACAATCACGTGGCAGATATTGCTAAAAGGGCGTCCCAAAAGCTGGGGGTGCTATTTCGTACAAGACATCTGTACACACCAAGCCAATTGCTGACACTCTACAAAGCCCAGATTCGACCCACTATGGAGTACTGCTCACATATATGGAGTGCAGCACCCAAACATACCTTAATGCTTTTGAACACCGTGCAAAAACGAGCTATCAAGCTGATCAATGACCCCGCACTTACTCGTAACTTGGATGGTCTCGAACATCGCAGATCTGTGGGCGATTTATCTCTCTTCTACAGGTACTATCACGGAAAATGCTCTGAAGAGTTGGCACGTATGATTCCACCGAGAGTAGCGCCTACCAGGCGAACCCGTCAAACAGACGGTAACCATGAATTTACTGTCAAACTAGAGGCACCAAGAACCTCATTATATCAGAATTCATATCTCTGGAGAACAGCATCGCTGTTGAATAAACTCCCTGCGACGGTTTTCCCTGCAGGTTACCACCTGAACCGTTTCAAGACCAACATACACCGACATTTCCGCGCACTTGCCGCTTCTCGAGCGTGATAGGACATTTCCTGGCGAGTGCGCATATCCGGAAAAAAAAAAAAAAAGAAGTCAATGAATTAATGAACCTAGACCAGGCCTTTTCATTCTTTAATATCATAGACAATTTACAAACAGAACTTCAAGCACTTCAATACATATTTAACAATCTTGAAACAGCAATTTCATTTGCTAGACTGAATATTTTGCACAGTACAATACTGGAAACAAAACATCTCAGATCAGCCTTAGAGAAGTTAAGTAAAATTTACGGTATAGAAAAGGTACCAAAACTCAAGCGTTTACTAAATTATTATTCTCTCTTATCCGCACAGGTAATCATTAAAGAAAGATTAATTTTATTCAAAATTCATATGCCTATAACATCTTCCCAATTTAAATACATCCAACTATATCCAATACCAATAAAAAACCAAACCATAATCCCTGAACACCCTTACCTCTTACTCAACACAGAAGAATACTGGACCACATCAGAAAAATGCCCAGAAATCGACAACCTTTACTTTTGCCTACAACAAAACCTGTACAAACAACAACCTTGTTTAGCAGACCTCATGAGAACAGGAAAAAACTCATGCCCTGGAATCTACATAAACTTTTCCGAAACAAGCACAACCCAAATAAGTGCACAAGAAGTCTTAGTAATTCCTGCGACAACAACAAGCATCAGATCCCATTGCGACGCCGAAGGCATATACGAAATTAACAAACCCTCTGTCATCTCACTAGGGAAATGCAAAATTTCCATTAACAGCAAACAATTTCAAATGGAACAATCCACTCATGAAGAATTCGTATTCGAATTACCCACATTCGAAACAGTACAACCTGAACATAATACAAAGAAGACTTTCCATCTGAAACAAATAAGCAGCGAAGACATCAAGCAAATCAACACAATTGCAACCAATTTACAAGTCTCGGATTTACACATCATTCGTAACAAAAGCCACCCATGGATCAATACCACAATCATAATAACCGTTGTAGCAGCATTAATAGCCGCCCTATGCTATTTTAAGATATTCCGACGCCGATGCCTGAGAAGTCCATCAAGCAACCCAAAAACATCCCAAGACGTACAGAAAATAAAGGAGCCATTATTTTCTGATCTGGGAAGGGAGGAGTTATGTAGTTGAAAATCTTCCACTATTATTTACTTAATGTTAAGATAATGCATCTACTTTCTAAAGTATTTACTCTAACGATATATTTATGACTTTTTCCAATATATAAGTGTGTAATCAACCTTAGAAGTTAAGTTAGTGTTACTGAAGACTTTGTACTGTTAGCATAAGTTTGTAAACCTAATTTCAAAAATAAAAGTTTTTTTTTTACGGTTTCGCGTAAACGAGAAACTTAACTCGTGTTTTCTTAGGGACATTGAAGATCTGTATAACGAACACTCAGAAAATCAAATTGAAATTCTTGTTGGTGATATAAACATTAACTTAGCTGCTGAGCATGACAATGAGGTAAATAACTACATAACAATGCTGGGTCACTTTGGTTTTCTGTCGGCTATTAATAACCCAACAAGAGTCACAGCTGAAACCAGCTCCATCTTAGACCACTTGTTTATCAGAAAAAATCAAAGAACTAACCTAAAGTATAGTTCCTTTGTCTTACATTCTGCGCTTACAGATCATTATCCTATAATGCTAAACATAGATCAAGAACAAGGCACACAGCTGGGTAAAGTGAACGAACCCAATTCACTGGAAACCTTCAGCCTTGATTATACAGTTTTCAATAATTTGATAAAAAATTTAAATTGGCAATGTGTTTTAGAATCCCAGGATGTGGAACAGGCCACACAAACATTTTCAGAAGTAATATCCGAAATTCTAAATAACTCTAAAATTAAAAGAACTTATAAAATTAAAGAACACAAAAAAATAAAACCTTGGATAACTAATGGAATCATAAATTCCATTAAAACTAAGGATAAATTGAAAAAAATACTTTTATTACACAATAATGAAAATAATAGACAAAAATTCACACAGCACAGAAATTTTCTCAACAAAATCATACGGAAGCGCAAACACGACTATTACAAAAAGGTAATCGAAAATAGTGGAAATAATCTGAAGAAGATATACAATGTTATATCCCAAGCTACAAGTGACATTAAATCAAAGGGGAATCCGAACTATTATATTTTTGATTTTGGCAGTATAATGACATATGTTATTCCTCCAGGGATTAATGACGAGTAGCGGGATTAATGGTCATTATTCCACAAAAGTGTCAGTGTCAAATGTGTAGTGCTTGTGGATTTGTATTGAAAATTATGAGACGGATGAAATGTTTTCATTGAAAATCTCAAATTAATTTGTCGTAAATAAAGTAGAGTATACTACTCGCAATAATGGCTATTATTCCCTCGGAATGTTACTCTCTCGCCGCTAACACGGCTCAGTTCGTAATAATCCTCGGGAATAATACCTATCATTATTGACTCGTGGTATAATCTACTATGATTTGATTTGATTTTGATTTGATTTGTTTGACACTGACACTTTTGTGGAATAATGACCATTAATCCCGCTACTCGTCATTAATCCCTGGAGGAATAACATATGTCATTATACTGCCAAAATCACAAATATAATACGCATATTATACATTAGTCGTAAATAAATAGACTTTATTTTGGTAACAAAATCGATTTCCTAGTTTTAGAGATATTAAAGTGTAGACTTAAAATATACATTTTTCGATTTTATCCAAATTGGTGCTATTTTTCTAAATAGACCACGAAAAAATATCGTAAATCACCATTTCGAATAGCCCTCAAGACACTTAATAATAATATGGACTGGTTGTACGCTGTTTCGGTAAATAAGCGACTTTTTGCCTCCGTTTCGCTCCACGATTTATTTCATCCAATAGCTGTTTAAACTCCTTCATACCCTCAAAGAATACCGATCTTGTGGCTGATGCCCTACATCTATGTTTTATATAGAAGTTGTTCTGTTGTCTAGTGTTATGCTCATGCATCTGGCTATTGTAAACCATCTTTCTTTTAAGATACAATGGAGCAAGTCCAATTTTAATTTCAAAAATGAACACCAGTACATTATATTTAGCATATTCCACAACTGGAAGCCAATGAAGTAGTCTAAGCATGCTTTTTACAGGAGTATACTTGTTACATGAGAGTATGAATCTCATAGATCTATTTTGCATGGAAAAACTAGTGGTAAAAACAACAATTCTAGACCAAGCTGAGAGAGATGCCGAACAGCGCCTAAGATAATTTGTCTTAAAACTAATTTTGGAAACCAGAATATTGCAGTGATCTTTAAATTTTAATTTGTTATCACGAATTACCCCAAGATACTTAATTTTTTGAACTTCTCCCAACTTATTGTTACCCATTTTAATTGAATAGTTGTTCTCAGTAAAAAGACTTCTGTAATTGTATGTACCAATAAACATAAATTTAGTTATACTAATATTAATCTTCAAAAGATTCTTTGATGCATACCTAATTGTTCATTTTATTTAGCGCATAATTACAAGATATGCACTATACTTTCTTACCTGGAACAAGACAAAGTTGAACAGCTGCTCTCTCATAAATGCAAATCACTGTGGAAGGATCTTTCACAGCTTTAACATAGTTTTTGTAAATATTTATTAATTCCTCATTAGATTGAGAAACTAATATTTGTTCCTCAAACGGTTTGTAAGTTTCAAGTGCTTTTTTAGCCTTATTAAAGCCATAATCAATCTGAAAAATATAAAATAAGAGATCAAAGAATAGAATAAAAGAATTCACAAAATAGAAGCAATAATTACTGGTTTAGGATCTACAAGCCCTTCAGGTAATGTTGCCAACCACTCCTTCCACTCCATATAAGTATTTTCCATTTCCATTAAAGGTACTGACAGTTCTCTTTTGAAAATATCAGCCACTTTCAAAATTTGCTTTTTCCATTCTTCACTGCCTTCTGCATGAAGCGAAATATGCAAATTTTCAATTTCTCTATATGTAGCCCACAATAAAGACCCTCCGTTACACACTAAGCCAACCGCATTAGCTGCTCGTTCTAAAATTATTCTCGTTTTTTCCAAGTTGCTTGCTCCAATAGCATACTGAGCATACTCGGACCATAACTGAACAGATAAGTAGTCGACTACAGCTTTTTCAAATAATTGGAATATAAAGTCTTTTTGATTATCTGTGGTTGCTAAAACTTTTTCAGTGTTGATCCAGTCCAACCAAAGAGCAGGCGTTAATGGGAAATAAACGTGAAAACGCTGAAATGCTTCTCGAAAAGATGTTAAATCTCCCAATTGTTTGTAAATATTAATAAGTTCAGTGTGGAAGTCATATAAGTATTTGTTATCCGAGAGGATGTTTTCTAGCTCTTTTGCTCTACTTAAAAGCACCTAGAATAAAGAGAAATTTTGACTGCAAATTTTTGTAAGTATTGCCTTACCTCTTCTTGGCCATCATCATTCTCATTGCTGCTGTTGCTAGAATCTGAGTCGTTCGAGATATTTGGTTCATCGGTGTCCATATTTAGATTTTCCTCATTCATAATGTTGGCGAATTTCAATAAATTAAATTTTTTAAAAATTTTCTAGGAAACAAAAATGTTGTACACAAACAGAAATTAAACTCTCGTCTCGTCCTTGTGAATTGTGAGGTTAGAAAGAAGGGACCCGTTCGAAAACAGTGATGAGCGAGCTGGGTCGGCTATTCAACATTCAACACGGAGGTAATGTGAAGATAGAGCAGTTTTTGCAGTTATGGCGAGTTTATAAAAAATAATTAACACTTAAACTAAGAATTAACATTTAACTTTAAATAGTTGGTGATAGAGTGCATAGCGTACTGCCAGCAGGATAAAAAGTGAACATTTGAGGACCCTTTTAAAATGCCTAGATTAGGATTAAGAGACCTGCTAGAAGGACTTTTATGGCCGTTTCCACCAATAAAGCTCTAAGCTGAGAATATTTAAGCGTCCCTTAAAACGTAAGCACCGCTTAATTATATTACGCACCTCGTCCTCAAGATCACTGCGTTATCTTACTATGTAGTACTGCTTTTTGTACTAGAGGGAGTCACAAATTTCAAAGAACTCAAAATGTCAATCATTGCCCTTACCGGCTACAGGACCCTGTTTAACCGGTAGAGTCATCTTGCTTTTTTGTGCAGCCGAAGGCGTCACGAAAAATTTACAAAATCCCTTTTTGGCTAGTTTAAGGTAAATTTCATCGTTATAAATAATCTATTTTGTGTTTTTTAGCTTCCTTAGCCCGATGGGGAAAAGGAAAAGATCGCCAGCTGATCGCTCGCCGGGCTGTTCTCGAAACAGATCTCGGTCTCGGCATGGGCATTCTCCTCATAAGAACCGCCATTTTGTTTCTCCTTCTCGATCTCGATCTCGGATTTCCGAAGGTTCTAGAGAATCGAAGTCTAGACGCTCTCAGGGCTCTTATGCCTCTTATTCTTACAATGGAAATCGAGGAAGAGATTCCTATGTTGTTAAAGAGCTCGAGTTACTCAAAAAGAGACTCGATCGCTATGAGGGTTCAACTTCAGCTCGACTCAGTTCAACTAGCCGAAGTAGCCGATCTGAGTCTACGACCAGATCAAGACCTCGACACTCACCTCGTAGCCCTCCTGTGCCCTTGGAAAGGGAAACAGGAGAAGATCAGGAAAACCTGATAGACCTAGCGAATTTGCAAGGGTCACCCAGGTCACCAGAGGCGTTAGTTCTTACAGAGGACGTTAATTTGGACGACGACATTCTAAAAGCCCTGGGGGAGCAGAAAAACGTCAATAAACATGGGTATGAGGCTCATGTTGTGTTAAAAAAGCGATGGGAGGAAATTCTAAGTGGTGGACTTGGTAAGGAGGAGCGGGAAGCCTTGAAGGAAAAATACCCAATCCCAAATAATATTCCAACCTTAAAGTCACCAGCTATTAATCTTGAAATAAAGAAAGCAGTCCCATCAATTACAATTAAAAAGGACAAATTCCTCGAGATAACTCAAGCCATGCTGGGCCATGGCATTTCGGCCATAGGTAAGGGCCTTTCAAGTCTTTTGACTGACAGTAATAGCCTGGATGCAAAAAACCAGCTAATCTCTCGGTTGAGCGATGGAGCAAAACTCTTAACTGATGTTCACCATAATTTGTCTCTAAATAGAAGACACTTAGTAACGAGCTCACTAAATACCTCTATCAAAGAGGTTATTCAGGGAACTCCAGTCGATGGCCTATTATTCGGCCAAAACTTAGCTGAAAAAATAAAAGCTGCAAAGGAAGTTGAAAGGTCAGTTTTTAAATTAAAAGAGCCTTCAAAGGTTAACGAAAAACAAAAAGTTAATTTAAACTTCAAAAGCCCGTCGGGTGCAGGTTATACCCAGCGCCGGACGGGCAATCACCGATCGAATTACCAACCTCGATCCCGTCACCAGCAGTATTACCAGAAAAAACAGGAACCCCAGCAAAAATTCAGGAAATAGAGGTAGGTTGTATTGCAGGCCGATTGAGACATTTTGTTGAAAAGTGGGAACAGTTTTTACCAGCTAGGTCTAAAGTTTTAGACTGGGTTAAAGGCTATAAATTACCCTTTTGTAGTAAGCCTATAAATAATTCAAATTCGACGACCAGATGCTCCTTAAGTGAAGTAAATATTTTCAAAAAAGAAATTGAGAAACTTTTAGCATTAGGGGCTATAGCTCACTGTGAGGAATCTGACTATCAGTTTGTCTCACCATGCTTTCTCACTAAAAAACCAAATGGCTCTATGCGCTTTATCCTAAATCTTAAAAAGCTAAACACCTTTTTGAGCCCACCTCATTTTAAAATGGAGGATTCCCGTACAGTTATGAGACTGTTAAATTTGGACTACTTTATGGTAAAAATTGACCTTAAAGATGCATATTTTTTACTTTCAATTCACAAAAACTACAGAAAATTTTTGAGGTTTCGTCTAAATTCTGAATTGTTTGAATTTACGTGCCTACCCTTTGGTCTGTCAGTAGCCCCATATATCTTTACTAAATTGATAAAACCAATTTTAAAACACTTTCGAGAAAAAGGTATACTTGTTGTATCATATATTGATGACTTTCTTATATTGAACTCGTCAAGACTTCAATGTCAAATTGACCTCGAATACATAATTCAATTTCTCACGTCCCTTGGCTTTATATTAAATTTCGAAAAAAGTTGCCTAATCCCAATGCAAAGGTGTCAATTTTTGGGTTTTATATTTGATACCAAAAAGATGACGGTAGAACTCCCTAAAGAAAAGCGTGAAAAAATAATGAAGTTTTTAAATATTTTTATCAAGAAGAAAACGTGCAAGATTAGAGAATATGCACAGTTTGTAGGCCTTCTAATTTCTACTTGCCCTGCAAGTAAATATGCAAAGCTTTACACAAAACAATTAGAGCGTGAAAAGTTCTTGGCATTACAAAAATCTAATCAAAATTATAACGCAGTAATGAACTTATCTAACAATATAAATGATGATATCTCTTGGTGGTTAAAAAATATTAATACAATGGAAAATACAATTAGACATGACCATTTTGACCTGGAGATTTATACTGATGCAAGTACAACAGGCTGGGGGGTTTTTGCAAATAATCAAACCACACATGGCTGGTGGAATAGGGAAGACGCTCAAAAACATATCAATACCTTAGAGCTTAAGGCTGTTTTTCTGGGTTTACAATGTTTTGCCAAAAACCTAAATTCCTGTAATATTTTAGTAAGAGTAGATAATACCACTGCGATGGCCTACATTAATAAAATGGGAAGTGTGCAGCACACAGACCTCCACACTTTAACAAAGCAAATCTGGAAATGGTGTGAGAGTAGAAATATTTGGTTATACGCTAGTTATATCAATACCAAACAAAACAAAGCAGATCAGGGGTCTAGAACAATTTCAGTAGAAACAGAATGGGAACTGGCACCTTTCGCTTTTGATAGAATAGTAAAACAATTAGGTGTTCCAAAGGTTGATTTGTTTGCATCTTATATAAACCACAAAGTGGAAAGATATATTTCATGGCACAGAGACCCTAATGCTATAGCCAGCGATGCCTTTACAGTGCCTTGGGCTAATAATTTTTTCTATGCCTTTCCGCCTTTTTCCCTGATACTTAGAGTCTTAAACAAGATTATGAGTGACGGTGCAGAAGGCATAGTAGTGGCACCCTTTTGGCCCAGCCAACCCTGGTTCCCCCTTTTCAACATGCTTATGGTGTCAAAGCCAGTTTTATTGAAACCAAATAAACATTTACTGTCTTCCCCTTTTAGCAAAGTTCACCCAATGCATCAAGGCCTTACCCTGGTTGCCGGAACGCTGTCCGGGAAGCCTTCAAACAAAAAGGATTTCCAGAGCAATCCTTAGAAACAGCCATTTCCTCACTATCGGAGAGTACAATCAAACAATACAACAGCTCCTTACAAGCCTGGTGGGCATTCTGCAACTGTAAAAATATCAACCCTTTTCAAGGAGAAGTAGAACACATAATAACATTCCTACAACTACAGTTTGATAAAGAGAAAAACTCCTATGCTACGTTTAATCAACATCGATCGGCACTTTCTCTGATACTTCCTCACGACATCGGAAAAAATACTCTGGTGAGACGATTTCTTAAGGGCATATTTAAGCTAAGACCACCCAAACCAAAATACAGTATAACATGGGATCCTTCAATAGTGTTAAAATACATAAAGAACCTACCATCTAATGATGCTCTAAACCTCCTGGAGCTAACGAAAAAGTTAGCAATTCTTCTAGCATTAGCTACTGGACAACGTCTTCAAACGTTGCATCTAATAAAAGTCAAAAATATTATTTTCCAGGAAAGTGGAGTAAAAATATATGTTCCAAATAATATTAAGACCTCAAGGCTGAATGCATATCAACCTTACTTCGAATTGCAATATTTTCATGAAGAAAAGCTATGCGTGGCATCAACACTCTTATCGTATATCGAAAAAACAGCTGCAATAAGACCAGACTCCGAAAATTTTCTTTTTATATCTTCTAAGCCTCCTCACAAACATGTATCTACATCCACCATAGCACATTGGCTCAAACACTTGCTTCACAGGGCTGGTATCAACACGAAAATATTCACAGCCCATTCTACAAGACACGCTTCTACATCAGCAGCAAACCGTGCTGGTGTTTCTTGGGACATTATAAGTAAAAATGCAGGGTGGAGCAACAGATCAAAAGTATTTGCTAGATTCTATAATAGACCCCTGGATAATAAGGAATCAGATTTTATGTCTGCCGTGTATAGCAGTACCTGAAAAATGTTAACAATAAAAATAGAGGTACCTTCATTTCACTTTTCATAACATAAAATGAAAATAAACACTACTTTAAAACTTTCTATATTTATTTATTTATTTAATTAGAAATAATCAAATAAACAGTAGGGACTGCTCAGCTGATAATAGAATGAGAAGAAGCTGAGCTGACAGTAGCAACAGTGACAGTTAGTTCGATCGATTACGATTTTTTCGAGACCAATCAACATGGTATTTCACTCTATTACGTCATTCGTCATTTATCATTGGTACACTAACAAGCGGAGAGCGGATTTTGTTCTACCGCTATATTTTGTTCTTTGAACAGCTACATAGTAAGATA